GAGTTTAGACTATAGCACACATCAGCCACATCTTGTATCAAGGCTACAGCGAATGTCAAAGCAGGCGAACTGCTTAGTAGCGCTTAGCTGCTTAAGGCAAGATAGTTGCCATATAAGTACGTCTAGAATAAATACAAAGTGTCTTTGAAACAGCTTTTTTGTGGACGTCAACCTTACCCCAGATCAATCAACAATATCCCTATGTTACCCCTATATAGCCCCTACATCACCCTAACACTTTCGTAAAAGAAGGACTATCGAAAGAGTCAGGTGCAAGACCGTGGAATTCTTGGAATTTCTGGCATGGTTTGAGCATTGCAGTGGATTTAGGGTTTAGGGCTTCGTGCCCCTCATGCGCGCTAAGCACTGCAATGCTCAAAGAATTCGAAGAAAAAATCCAAAATCTTCTGCGTCTTCCCAGATTTTACTACCCACAAATACCGGAATGTGGGAATCCTTGGAACATTATGAGCATTACAGTGCTTGATGAGGTTACGGGCTTGTAATTTTTGGGCTTTTTATGGAGAATTCCAGTGCTTTGTCACCCTCACCCTCACCAAACACTGCAATGCTCAAAAAAACATTGGAACATTTTTGGTGCATGTCTAGATTTGCTGCTCCTAGGTAACCGTATTTTGGGTTTTTTCGCTTTTTTGAGCATTGAGGTTGGAACTCTTGGAGCATTGCAGCATTTCGTGGGCCCCCCTTCATCGCATAGACCACCTCAAGGTAGGTCGCATACATGTATATATATTTCTATACATATACATATATCTAGGGGGGCTGGTATACAGGGGGGATGGGGGGGTGTGGGGCTTAGGGAGCTATGAACAATCCTGGATCTCAAAGGCTACCAAGCAGCCTCCTACAAGCACCAGCTCCCCTCGTGGTGAGCGCTCGACAGCGTCCAGCAGTGCTCTTGCTGGAAGGCCGATGCAAAGCTCTCCAGGAACCTAAGATGTTTTTTGAAAATTAGGCTTTGGAGCTTATAGGGGTAACTCCAAGTTTAGAAGTACGTAGGGCTGCAAGCCAAGTTCTAAGTAGTTACCCATGACCCTCCAAGTTGGGTTTAGAGTTCCCTAAATAGTAGTTTTCATTTTCTTTTCCATTATCCCTATATAATCCCCAATATACTATAGTACCATTAATATTCCCAATATTATTAATATTCATATTAAATGAGAATAATAATTAGGCTTAGGGTTTGCAGAGCTTTGGATGCAGAATCCAGGGATTGTAGGGTTTGAAGTGACTAGGGCCACGGACTAGGGATTCTAGGGATTAGGAAGTGGGCAAGAGGGGGCTCAGTTTCACGTATAGGGTTTCGGTGTTTTTGGGCATTGTTGAAAACAAGCTCACGTTTCATTGACCTTAACCTCAAGTATATGCAGAGCTCTGCAGCATTTTTTCTAAAAAACAGCCCAGGGACCGAGTCCACAAACTCTTCCGTCAAGCGTCCGTCCTCAACACGCGATTTAGGGTTTTGGGGGCTTCGGGTTCAGAGGTAAGTTGACGGGCTCCAGGTCGTAGACGTCCATAGAGTGACTATCAAATACTAGAGCTACGACACAAAGAGGCCCTGAAACCTTAACACAGGGTTTAATTGCGGTTTAGGGCTTAGGGTAAGCTTTGTTCACCCCTACAAACCCGGTATAAGCCATATAATCGAGTTTTCGCTGCTTTTTGCATCTTACGTTCCACTTGACTTCCCAATCCCTACCGTGAACCCAAAAATTGACCCCGTAAACCTGAAACCTTCCTACACCAAAACCCACCATACTTCCCAAGGCATATAAGGTACTTAGGGTCATGCAGGAATTTCAACATCAACCCTATAAACTTCCATATAATCGCAATCTCCATGACATTTTCCAGTTCTATTCACTTGATTCACCATTACTTCAGTATATATCCACCCCAGACCACTAAACCAAAGAAACCTCACCTCTTCCCATGCCAAACCCTGAATCTCAAGCCCTGGATCCTAAACCCTAAACTCCCTTATTCCTGAACCCCAAACCCCTACTCCTTACTCCTAGACCCTTACTCCTACACCCTAACCCCTTACTCCGAAACCCTACATCTGGTTTCGAACATCAACCCCAAGGTCCTCTATGGCCTCCCGGCCTAAGCGAATCATCTGGCGTGCAAGGCTCCGCCAGGCTTCCTGGGTTGCTGTTAGGAAGTTAGATTAAGTTACCATAATGGCTATATAGGGTATGTATATAGGGTTTAGGGTATAGGAACTGTAGCTAGGCCACCATAATCTAACGGGTTTACACACACGTATATATATATATGGATGATGGAAAAGAAGATGGAAACTACTATAATGGGGGCATATAGGGTTTAAGGTTTAGGTTCCCATAATGCGTATGTTAAGCTATGTTATGCTTAGAGAATCAAATGGACAAGAACATAGAAAATCAAATGGACATTGGAGGACTATAGGGATTTGGGGAACGTCAGTTAAGTTACCATAATGGATAGGTACATATATATATATAAATATACGGTGTTCCCAGTAGCCTTAAGTTAACTTCCTGAACAGCAACCGAGCTTCCTGTACAACATTTTCCGACACCTGAGTGGGTGGTTTGGAGCTGTGGGCTAAGGATTTATAGGGCCTACGATGGTTTAGGGCTGAGGGTTAAGGGTATGGCGGTTGGGGCTTAGAATTCATTCCGGTTTAGGGTCTGGGTGTGGTTATCCTTTGCCCAGAAGATCTATGCCGAGAAATACAAACATTTCTGAGCCAACATACATCGCCCTCCGAAGAGCGGTTGTATGCCAATCAGTAGCATGGGGAAACATGGAATTTGCATACGGCTTCGAAGGTCTGCACACATCAACCGCAATAGTTGCCAGGGAGCGAGCGAGCGAGCGAACAGAGAGAGAGAGGAAGAGAGAGAGANNAGAGAGAAAGAGAAAGAAAGAGAAAGAAAGAGAAAGAAAGAGAGAGAAAGACAGCGAGAGAGAGAGAGAGAGGGAGAGAGAGAGAGAGATGGCAATAATGTGACAATGACAACTGTGACACGGATGGTGGTTCTGGGGTCCCCGAACGAAGACAAGGCTAGAAAGCAGAGTGCGGACCCATATAGCGACCTGTTTGGAAAACACGGGGCATTCTGGGATGCTATGGGGTATGTGGGTACAGAGGGGGACACTTTGTGCCACCTTGCAGCAACTAGAAGATGCTTACAACTTCTTCCATTGCAAGCTAGACACCCCAAGTTTGTGGGCAAGGGCACGCAGGCGTAGGTCCCATGAGTCGAGTAATCCAACGACCACGGGTGGAAAAAGTGCCAATCTCTGAAGCGCTGGGGACAATTGCAACCTGGTGCTGCTTCAAAACAGGGATGCCCTCGGGAGCCTGAGTGTATCGGTTCAAAGGGTTATATGGGGTCTGGTTGGTATGAGAATCATGCGAGGATAGGGGGGTTATTCGTGGGGACCATACAGGAACCGTATGGCCCCCTCTTTATTCATGGGTTCCCCTACTCCTCCACCCCACCCTCCGCTACTAACCCCCTAGGTTTCACTCTTAGTTGGGCTTATGAAGAAGGAGCCTCGGCGGGTAGTATAGGGGGGGGGTTGGGGAACGCATGATGTTGAGCCCATCCCACCTGTCTCGTTTTGCGAGTTCTAGAAACTCGTCCACGGCCTTGGGTTCAAGAGTGGAAAACAGTTGCAAAATCTAGTTTCCACCAAGCTCTAGGGTTTGGGGTCTAATATGGCTTACTATGTTGTGGGAAAAACCAACAACCCCCCACCCCTGATAATACATACTCTCCCTAAGATATCATGGTACTATAGTGGGAGGGTATTACTCATCCCCGCATATCAAATCCACCCCCTCCCCCCACAAAACCCTAAACTCTTCATAGTAAAGATTTCCATATTGAATATTTCCATCGCGGTATTGAAAATTACTGCGTGAGGCGTGAGGGTTTAATACTAGGGGGCCCTGGCAGAAATTTCAATTTTGCTGCTGATTCGGGTTATAGATAACAACCCTAAACCCATTATGTTTAAGGAACTTCCAAAGGATCATTAGGGGAAGGTACTATTCTCAACTTCGACGCCCGGCCTGCCCCGCCAGCTTGCACTTAGCCGCAAGGCTCCTTCCCCAAAGGGATCCGTGTAGGTTTAGGGTTTAGGGTCTAGGCTTTAAGGGATCTAGGGATTAAGGGTTTAGGGATGTAGGGTTTAGGATTTAGGGATTTAGAATTCAGGGGTCCCGTAGTAGCTTTCTAGGAACCGCTCTGGGCCCTTAGCAAATGCCATTTAACCAGCTACAAGGACCCTTTGGGTTCTGGTTTCCGTCCATACTGTGGATGATGGAAATCTCGCACCACTTAGGATCCCAGAAGTATTGTAATTATTGGGGTATATGTAGGGTATGTAGGGTGCTGTGCTTTCTCATCCATCCACACTAGGCACCCAAAAAGAACCCAACACTTCAACATGACCCGCATTTTGTGGGTTTTCCCGGAGTGGGAAACCCCAACATGGATCCTAATACAACGTTTCCTTATGACAGAGAATCATGGAAAGACGTCCCTGATTTTTGGAACACCCCCTAATGTACATTTCTGTGTCTCTGAAATTCCCTGCGATCCTCTTGAAGGAGTCCATGCAAAACAACAAAAAAGCCGAAACGAGCAACCATAACCCTGCTTGTTTCCTCCCGCGAAACCCACACCGAGAGCTCGGAACCATAGACGTTAAATCCTAATGTCGAAGCCCAAATATGTGTGGGATTTCTGACTTTTGCGAAGCTTGCACAAAAAATACTCAGCACCCTGCGATGTGTGTTGGGGGCTGCTGCTTTGTGCGAAGATGCGCGGAGCAAAAAAGGGTGGCAGGCCTATGGGTGGAGTTCGAAACTCTCGACCTGAGCTACCGAGCCCGGAAACCGTGGTCCTGTTGAGTCACTACGACCCTGATTGGGTTGATCCGGCCCCCACCCCTTCCCTTTCCTAAATGGGTAACGATTCTCTTTGGGGTTGGGCTAAACCCTAAACCCTATAAGCCCATCAAGCCCTGACCCTGAGCCCTAAAACTTGAACCTTCCTGTTCAGTATGCAGATGTTTGTCAACATAGCGCTTGCCCACGCAACCTGATAGCCGGCCTTCACAGAATGTTTTTCCCCCTGGGTTTGGGGTTCAGGGAAGAGGAGGGCTTAGTTTGGGTTCCACGATCTGGTTTTTAGGTCCGAGAGCTTGAAGCTCAGCTTTTCTTTCTAAGCTTCTAGCTTTGGGATAACCGAAATGCCGCCCAAACGTGCAGTACGTTCTGTTAGAAGACTAGTTGGCAATCTCAACACAATAGAAGCCACCTTACATATTTCCAACAAGTCAGAACAAGGATTCGCCTGGGACCTAATGGTACAACGGGAATATGTAAGGAAATCATCGCGGTTACTATTAGAGATATTTCCAGCATTGCCTCTTAGAATCTTCCCAATAGCGCTGTAAACTTGGAACCCATGGACCTTAAACCCTAAAACCCTAAATCCTAAACCCTAGAACCCTAAACCCGAAGCTCATGAGTTAGTCGTAACCCGTACTTATCAGGCTCCAAGCTTCAACCCCATACCCTAATCCAAAACAAAAACGAACACAAATCTCTCCGAATGGCTAGTACCAAGTGTAGCATAAATTACCCTGAACCCTAGATATCCTTACATGGCCCTTTCAACTGACCTAGGGTTTCCATTTCATCTGCCCTTTGATTTCCCACGGAACCATCCATCCCCAACCTGCTTCTGGCTGCTTTGTATGAGTGTCTTCCTTGGGCTTGTAAGGTTCTGTAGGGTACAATGTACAGCTAGCTATACCCCACTCAAATTCCAATGATGATGCCGTCTAAAACCCAGAGAAGCCAGATAAGAGGGTATTCGGGTCTTTGAGGGGTTTAGGGTTAAGGGGCTTAGGCTGTAGGGGTTTAGGGTTTAGGGCTGATAATGGATGTTATAGGGATCCCCAGTCAGGGGCCTATGCTAGTGGCTCATGTTGCCAACCCAGGGTAGCTTGAAAGAAACCCGAAGCCGTCAATCCTAAAGTTACACTAGACGGATCAAATCTTGCACCACTTATATCCCTAAACCCCTAGACTAGACCCTCATACCCCCTACCCGAGAGATTACGTTACTTTGGGCAGATTGCCTGCAAGTGGATCTTCCATGTGTAGTGTCTAGTCTACTGCGTTGCGCCATGTTAATCCGACCTCCGAACTACGTCTGTTTCGAAGCTCTAGTATCCCTTTTCAAATAGACGCCCCCCAAAGACATGGAAACCTAAAATGGACCCCATGCAGATTGCCGTAACTAAGCCCTTCCAGGCTCCAAACCGTGCCCTCTGTCAAAATAGACTAAACAAATGGAAAAGAACATGGAAGCCCTAGGTCCGTTTAAAGGGATATGTAGGGTTATATAGGGGTATCTATTGGGGTTATATAGGGATAATGGAAAATGAACCGGAAACTACTATTCAGGGGTTAGGGCAGAGTTGTTCCCTTCGCCTGGCTTTTGAGTGCCCTAGCCCAAATCGTCACAATTACTGGGGTTTAGGGTTAGGGTATTATAACAAGTATACAAAACAGACCTCCAAAACTAAAGCTTACATTTTCAGCTGTTAGTCCAAAGTCATCCCCTCCCCCCAAGGTCAAATGGGAGCAATAATTCTTACCAGGGGGTGAGGGGCTTTGTTTGGCGGAGGGATTTGTGCTCCCCTGGCCTTGAGCCCTTGCACCAGCGGCTCACAACAAGTCCTCGCGTCGCTCCGTCGCCGTGCTTGGGCCAAGATACGCAACCAACCTAACAGGGACCTACAGTTGATAAAGAATTCCCTCAGACTAGAAGAATGGATTCTTGTAGCTAACCCCCGCCCCATGGAATCCCCACAATGTCTGGTTTCCATTTTTGATTCAAGTCCTCCATGCCCCACTCCCAACCAGCAAGGTATGAGGTACGCAGTGTCATGCAGGCCTGGTATCAGCTGTGGAACGAACAATGAAAGAGCCACCCCGATCTGAACACTAGAGCGTGAATGTGGAAACATGGGGCTCCAAATCTTGATGGGGTTGCCAAAAGTTTGCGTCACCTAGCGTCCTTGAACTCCGAATTCCTGCGGCTTACGGTACATGGTGGTGCAAGATGGTACATGGTTTACAGGCTTTTGGTTTCAGTGTGTAGTGTCCCAAACACAAATATGGGGTAAAGGAACGCAAAAAGGTTCTCGCCAACTCTAGAAGCCCAGATGCCAACCCAGTAGGATTTGGGGCTGAAAATTATACAAACTTACATAGGGCCTATGGAATGGGGTTTAGGGTTTAGGGTTTAGGGAACTTACATAGGGCCTATGGAATGGTAACTCACCCAGGAAGTATTTGGACTTTGGGGGTGGGAAAGGGGGGGGTGCTCCGCTGCTTACACTGTCTTAGCCATCGCAAAATCCATGCGCATAGGTGTCCCAAACATCGAGGCGAAATGCGCCGCAAAACCCTCTTAAGTAGTTTCCATTATCGTTTCCATTATCCCCATATAAGCCCCCAATATATCGCTGTATATCCCCTTTATAACGAAAACGTACTTTCCATGTTCTTTTCCACGAGTTCGTACAAACAACCCGTGAAGTGCCTGCAGCAATGTAAGCCGGCCAGACCACAGCTAATATAAGCTTGGTAAGGGCTGCCAAAACGACGACCAACAAGAGCGCAGCTACCTTCAGGAAGTCTGGGGATGTAGGATTCAATTGCAGACATAGGGCCATAGGTTCCGGGGACTCGAATTCCAGAAAACTTGGACCCTCGCCTAAACCCTAAACCCTAAACCCCAAACCCTACACCCTAAACCCTAAACCCCATGCCAGGGTACGAAGCAGACCACGGAAGTCAACCACGTCAGAAAAATGAGCGGAAACCACCCCCACCACCAGCGTCCACCGCCTTCGTGCCAGTTTAACGCCCACCTGGGATTGGGTTCAGGCTATATGGATCTGAATTTACGGTTGAAGGTTTGGGGTTGATGGGTTCAAGGATTTGGCGGTCCAGGGTTTTCTAAACAATTTCTTTCACTCTTGCATCTACACTCCAACTACTTGAAGATTCGTCAGGTGAGGCGGTTGCTGCCGTCGAGTGATAAAGCCCGAACGCTGGCCAAGGACCTCATAGCCAGAGGCCATACCAAAAAGAACTGGTCGGGACGTCTCCACTCCAAAAAGGGGGTTGTAAGGGCCCCGCGGACCTTTGCTGGGATTTTCGTCTGGGGGCCTGCCAGATCGAAGTTTCTAAAAATCGCGCTTCTCAGAATAGAAGCCCGAAGCCTCGGCTAGTTGCTCTGGTGGACGGTTGCTGTCAGGTCAGCTACCAGGTGGAAGGGAATAGAAACGTTTCTGGCATCCCTCCAGGCGATAGGTGCTGCATGTGCGACGCCAGTGAGCTGCACTGCAGTACGCTGCTGCAGCAGCGCCTAGTCATGCTGCATTTTCTAGGGGCTCCATGTGACCAATTGAGTCAATGTGCTCCTGTACACTACCAGATGATAGCCGCATAGAATTCCGCGAGCAATGCTGCATTCGTGACTCAGCACTGTCGCTGCTTGGTAGCGGCAAAGCGCACAACAAACGCCTGCCTGCCATTTCCTTCATGGATATCTTAGAGTGCCGCAAGGCACACGCTCGAGCGGGCAAGCTCGCAGGACACGAGCTAAACCCTGATCGGTTTATTCCTCACAGTCCTTTTATCCCTACCTAAACCCCGGTGTTTAGGTAAACCTGACCTTAGACTCTCCGGGGTCCCGAGCTACCGCGTTCCTCTTTGGTGAAAAGGAACCGAATGGGGTTTCTCAAGTTTGGGAACCCTTGGCGGCGCACACTGAGGAGCCTTGCAGACTCTTCTAGAACCATGGTGGCCCTTGGTAAGGGGCATAGGGGATCATGTTGAAGAATGCCCATATTCAGCCTTAGGGTTTGGGTGTTGGAGGGAGATCCTTATTTTCAAAAGTTGAACTGTTGAAAAGGCTTCACAAGATCTGACGTGACACAAGGTCTTTCACCCCGCTTCCGAGGTCCATGCAAGCAACTCCTAAATCGTCACGCCCTGAACTCCCAATCCGTGAACTGAAGGAAACTAGCTTGCTCAGTAACCTCTGACTAACAAAGTACCCTTTTGCCTAATGATGTTCAGCATTAGAAAGGAGACCCCAAAATAAAAATGGACAAAGGGTACTACTTGGGGTACCTAGTAAAAAGGAGTCCGAACAGCAACCAAGAATCATAGGGTCTGGCTCGTGAAAGTCGCTTCGGCGGAACTCTGCCTCTTCGTAGAGCTCCCAAATGCTGAAGCCCGCGTCGTACAAGTCGTTTGCGTCGGCACCTGGTAGTTTCCAAGGCTATCGCGGTAAACCCTGCGCGACCTAAGTACCTCAACAATATCTGTTGAATGCATGAGATGTGCAGGTTTCCTGGCATCCGCAGTGAGGCCCAGAAATCTAACCCCACTCCTACTCACCCAGCCGCAAAGAAGAGCCCCGAATTAGAAGGCTTGTCTCTGCTCATCTATAGTCCCCCTTATGTAGATAGAATATGGGGTATATGATTATGTCGATCTTATTGTAATATACCCAAATCCATATTGTATCTACTTAGGGGAGACTGCAACCTTGTTTTAGGCGGTGCTGGGTGCAGGGGCGGAGGTAGTATAGGATGCTATGAAGATAGCCGGTCCTCTCACGTTCAAAATGCAAGTAGGGTGGCTAAGAATCCCCCCTTTTGGGAACCCCCAAGCCCCTGAGCAAAATCCCAAGCCGCCATCGTTGACCCTATAACCTCTAGCCCAAAAGCCTTGTCATGCCAAGCCACTAAATTAAAGTAAGCCCTAAACCAACTCCATCCGCTCATGCCTAACCCAAACCCTGATAATCCTTACTCCCTTAACGTTAACCCCTAAAATTCCCAACCTTGCGTAGCGGTTCGTGGAGCACTCTGGTCGCACTACCTATGCCCTACTTGCACCAGGGCCCTCTAGGTCAACCCAGACCGAACCCTAAACCCTAAACCCCTAAATCCTAAACCCTAAACCCTAAACCCTAAACCCCTAAACCCTAAACCCTAAACCTGCTCGTAATCCCTGAAGCCTAGCCTCCCTAAACCCTCATGCCCCTAATGTAGAACCCCGAGGGTCCACATATACAAACATTATAGGGAATTGGGACCCATAATTCCTTCTATAGCATGGTATTTTGGGGCCTAATTCCCTAATAGTTGTATGTGTGGACCCTCTGGGAAGCCGAAATAACTACCATGATCATTTTGAGATCTATTTGGGATACCCTTGAAATCCGACAGTATCTACGGAAGCTAGCACCATAGAATTGACAATTCTGTTTTGGCTTCTACAGCAACCTGAAAACCCAGGCCTAAACTCTAGCACCCCTAAGCCCTAAACCCAAAGCCCTAAAGCCTAAGACCCAAGCCCTAATCCTGGCACCTAAGTCTTTGAGATCTTTCGCTGTGTAGCCCTCCGAGATTAGGTCATGGATAGAGCGGGCATCCGGTCCTACCTGCAAGTTTCTGAACATGGGGGGTTTAGGGTTTATAGGGTTTGGGGGTTAAGGTTTAGGGGTCAAGGGTTAAAGTTTAGGCTTGAAACCCTTTTGCGGCGTTTCAAACCCTCCTCTTCAAATCCCGCTGTACTGCCGACGCAACACACAAAAATCCGGCACCAGTTCCAGGTTCGGAACTTCGGGTAGGGGCCAGTGACCCCCGGCACTCCCCCCCTTCTCAATGCTTCAGATGAGCGTGTGTTTCTGCTGTCTACAGCCCTTTGTTGCAACCACCAAGGTCGGGCGCACGCTAGCATTTACTGTTGCCGCTGTAGGAACAGTATCCTGACACAATGCTTACCAGGGAATCTCCTCATTGATCCTGATTTATCCTTAGTTCCCCTTGGGGTAATGTAGAAGCGTGGATACATACCAAAAGCACTTCCATAGACTCTTGCTAGACTATGACTCGAAACCCTATTCAATTGATTATTACTAGGATTATTACTATTACTATTATTATTACTATTATTATGATTATTACTACTATTATTATTATTACTATTATTATTACTATTATTATTATTACATGCGGGTTTTCGACATGATTAGTTGCGGAGCCGGGTTTCTTTGTCAGGGTACAGGGCTGAGAGATCAGGGAGTCGGGTGTGGGGCTGTTTAGAGTGTATATAGGGCTGTGGGTTTAGGATTTTGGCTTTTGGGTCCTCGAGGATCTGGCTTCTTTGTGGCTGTATCAGCTAAACTGCCACTGCAAAAAACAATTCTGAAGATTGAAAATCCCCACCTGGATCTCGCGTGACGCGGCACAGCAAGAACAGAAGGGCCGGCATCGACAATGTACCAGGATCAGCCAACAGCAACAAGACTCGTAGACATAGCGGAGCAGAACGGAAAGAATCACAAGCCTGGATCCCCTCTGGTTTAAGGTCTAGGGTTTTAAAGTTTTAGGGTGTGGTTTCCCATTTGGATCTCCAAGGAAAAGCGAAAACAGCGCTGCTGCACATGCCATAACTACAACAAAACCTACAATAAAGGGCCCGTGATTGTCTGAATGAACCACGATTTGGGGGGTGACGTTGGACAAGGTCGCTCTAAGTCGCCGTTACTTTGCAATGGGATGCTCGTAGCCACCGTAATATTAAAGGTGCAGTTGATGTGGATTTCGGATTCTGAGTCCGGGGTCCTGAGCCGTGTTCATGTAGAAGCCAAGAAAAATTGAAGTCAACACCATAATCGCCAACAGCGGCCTGTGCGCCTTCCTTGGAACCCTGTGTACTCCATGATTTCTGTGCTTTGGGATCACAATTATTAATCAGTCAGAAACCTTAGAAACCCCGAACTCTAAACCCATAACCCTCCAGCAAAAACCAGAAGTCCTCAAGCCCAGAACACTTAACCCTCAAAGCATGAACCTGAAGCCCTCAACCCTTAAGCCTCAAAACCTTAAAGCTATAAACCCCGAGCCTGAAACCGTCAGACCTCAAACCTTTAGCCTTGAACCCTAAGGCCCCGCCTGTAACCCTTACCTACAATGTTGTTGTAAATAGGCATAACCCATAGTACTCTAGGAACCCCCAACTACCAAACCCTAGGCAAAACGGTATTTCCATGTTCTTTTCCATTCTTCATACCCTATATACCCTAAATAATAGCTTCCGAATTCTCATAGTTGGTACTTGAAAGCCTTCTAAATTGAGTGGAGCCACGGAGACTTCAGTATGGTCAACACAAGCGAAAGCAGGCCGAAGCTACAGCAGCTCAGCACGCCGATCAACAATCCACAAATCAGCTCCCAGCACCTGAGGCTAAGGTTTTGAGATTAAGGTTTAGGGTTTAGGGGTTTAGGGTTTAGGGTTGGATTTGGGATGTTAGGGTTTGGGGTGTATAGGGTTTGGAGCTTTAAGGTCTGAAATGTGGGGTTTAAGGTTTTGGGCTGGAAGTAGGAGCAGAAGGGAGTGAGCACTGGTACCACCTGTATGAGGATTGTTCAGCAGGTGCCTCAATAATTCCCAACATCATTGAGAGGTCCATCTGAGGTACCTTCTGCCGTAAGTCGTTTAGGGTGTGGGGTCTAGGGTTTAGGGTATACATTTGATTGAGGAACATATTGCTGGTAATGGCCATGTAGGCCCTTGCATTAGATGAGTTGTTGTATTGATGCGTTCCTTCCCTCCACCCCTCTTCAAAAGCGGTGAGGCACGTGATGTCTTCTGCTGTGGCGTTGCGTCTTCCCAATCGTCGCGCTCTGGCCTTCTCTGTTGAAACAAAGTCCTCCATCAAGTCCTGAGTTATTTACCATCTTCAACCAAAAGATGATTTTCTGGATCCCATCTTTACATTCTTTGTGAGCTACAGTCCAATTTTCCATGTAGGCTCCTGTTATTGGGGAGCATACCAGACTTAAATTACCAAGGGAGACCCTACAGCAGCGCATATGGTTCCCATAGCCCAAAACAAGTTAGAGGCTATCCTCTGCACAGGCAGGCTGTGCGAAATCAAAATGAGAGCCAGAACCAGCGTTGAAATAAGGCCATGTTGAAGCTGCAGTTAAGGTTTAGGGCTTAGGTATTGAAACATATTATAATATGATATAATATAATTCCATATAATATAACATCACATATTCTGATGCGGTGCTAGGTGGTCAAAATCTGCCCCAGAAAGCTTGCCAGGTCTGTTGATCCCAGAGGTTGACCTCCTGTTAGTAATAGGGCTCTATACACACTCAAAAGGTTTAGGGTTTAGGGTTTAGGGTGTGAAAGCTTATCTACTGAGCTACTAAGCTTCCCAGAACTGCACGAATGCCCAAAAGGCCAGCGCTGCGGGTCCAAAGCATGATACAGCAAGAACACTGACGCCTGCAATCAGCCAAAAGAGAGCCAGCAGAAGAGCAGCAAGTACGGGATACCTGGTTGGGATTTGTCTGCCAGGGTTTGGTTTCCTACATGTCAGTGTACTACTTTGGGGTCTGTACTCTACTGGGGTCCCTCTTTCTGGAAACTCTCTTTAACCCTCAAACCCTAACCCTAAATAGTAGTTTCCATTTTCTTTTCCATTACCCTTATATAATCCCTATATAACCCTTAAACCCTTAAACGAGTCCCATTTGCCAAACCAAGCCCCACCGCTCCTAGGGTGGGCTTGGGGCACCATTGCTTTGAATGTGGTTTATTGGGATTATGCAAGAAAAACACTAGCCGACAACCTGAGTCCAGGTATTCACAATGGCATACCGTTTTCTAGCCCTACAAGTAGCTTCCATTTCCTTGTTCTTCTCCATTCGATTCTCCGTTGTACCCCCAAACCCTAGTATCAAGGGAGAGGATACGCTCAACATTCCACTCTGAACCCTAGACCCTAGACCCTAAACCCAGTTCTCAGCCAGACACATCGGAATACCCAATGCCAGGATAAAGAACGTCGTCAGGGACTTGCGGGCCGGCCCCACTTCCGCCAACACCCAGATCATCCTCAAAATAATAAAGAGTACCTTCGGTTTAGTTAGGATTTAGGGTGGAGGTTGAGGGATTTGGGTTTGGGGTCCGGTTGCTTGGCCATTAATTAAGAGACCTCGAATGACATTGGTATAGGAGGCGGCCCTAGGTGAACAATTGCGCACATAGTGGTTCCTGGGCTGCGGGTGACAGAGCTAGTCTATAATAGGGACTCGTTCAGTAACCGCAAACCAGTATGTAGCTAACATGGCCTCGAGGGCTTTAAGGGAAGATTTTCGAGCTTAACACAGGCAGCACAAGGCACTGGCAAGAAAAGTAAAATAGCCGTCGTATAGCTCACAGTGAAACCGGTCATGACGTGGTTGGGCAGCGTAGCGTTCGCTGTTTCAAGCCAGAAGACAAGGTCCTGAAACCTTGCGTCAAGCCAGAAGGTCAGCTCCCGAAACCGAGCAACGAGGACATCCACTGAGTCCCAGTCAGTAGCCATCATGGATGCTAGAGGGAGACTCAGGCTCAGAGGTTGAGATCTGTTGAGGCATTTAATCAGGCTGTTCGGATTCAGAAGTAAAGGGCCATCATTGCAACTATGGGTTTACATGGGAGGGAAGAAGAGCAGCAGTAAACGTACGATTTTTAATTATCGTGTAGTGGTGGTAGCAACACTTGTGGTTCTACAGCACATGGGCAACTAATTATGTTTGATGCCATTCGTACAACGGTCGCTTTGTTTCCAGCAACAGCCGGCTTGTTAGAGTCAGGCAAGTTGAGTTTATGATAGTGCTTGGGGGCTGTGGTGCAGAGATAGCCGGCTCATGAATCCCCGAAGCCTAACTGCTGATGTATCCCAAAGAGCTTCAAGTACACCCATTCCTTGCCCCACTTTCCTTGAGCCTTGCATCAAATGGTCAAGAAATTAAGCTTTGCCCTCTCGCAAGCTACATGGACGCCCAGAAGGCGTACTGTAAATACTACTGTGCCTTTCAAAGGGTCCTATAGAGGCTTCCGTGTTAGCTTGGCATAGGGGAAGATGTAAAGCTCCCTTTTTTGCGCAGAGCACCGTGCTTTGGATATTTCGAGTTTTCAGATATCGCCTCGGGTTTCCTGCCGCCATGGTTGAGCTTTTGGCTGCGCAATTTTATGGTCCGCTTTGCATGACCATGTCCGCATTCTACTTACTTCGAATTCAACTGCAAGGCCGTACATAAGTTACCCCAGTTAGGGTTTAGGGTTTAGGTTTAGTTGCCCCAGAAGCAGGGTAACAATGCTTGCCAACGTCAGCTACTCGATCCCATGAAGCTCAATGTGGGGCATAGCATATGCGTAATGAAACACAATTCTTGCAATGAAGTGCAGATACGGCCGTCTGCACTTGATGGACAAGGGTTCCTTATTAGGGAGTATATTTGAAACTACAATCGGGACCAAACGGACCCCATGTCCATCCTTAATGGTCTTCTGCTAAGCCTAGTATGGACGGTAGCTCATGTGGACTTGAGGTTATGGTTCTCAGGCCCGTGTAGCTGTGGCCCCAGAACCAGAAGGAACAAAGAGATCCACCAGCGGATACCTATATAACCCTAAACCCCAAACAGGCCCTACACCCTAATCCCTAATCAGGTGGCTAGTCTCCCACAACCCTTCTAGACCACTCAAATGGAAGTTCTTCTCTGAGTAAGACGGAAGCGTCCTACCCTATGACAGGCTACCTACAAGTGCTCTTGAAATTGATCCCTCCCCTATGTTTGCCCATGGCAGCAGTTTCGGGACTGGTTTGGCATGAAGCTTCACAGCATGGATCGCTTTACACCCTTCAAAAGCCCTGAACCGGAAATAACAAACTCTATGCCTTAAGCCTGACTTGCTCTGAGGTACGGATATCGTTCCAATTACGTAAGGCAGCAGGCCTTCAGTACGCTCGAATGTCCCTGTTTTCTTTTCAAAGTACCCACGGCTAAGGCCCATCCAGCGCTTCTTATTCATATTGCCGGGGGGGTCAAAATCTTGGGGACCCTTTCGGGGGGTCCCTAGAATAAGGATGATCGGGTTTAGTTTAAGGTTGCAAGTGAGTAAGGATGATCGTATAGTGGGGCCCGCCATTAATCGAACACTACATTCCATTTTCTACAGGTTTAGGCTCTTGCATTATCTGCACCAGGGGTGGCCTCGGTAGACTCGATGCCAGGCAATGCCAGCAGCCGCTTTCTGAGTTATGTAGGGGCCTAAATAAGTACTCACATCATTTTGAAGTCCCTTCAGGATACCCTATACTATAGTTCTACAAGGAATCTAGGACCATAGTACTGGTACTTCTTCAGGCCTCTACATTATGTGTTTTAGAGGGGGAGAATGTCCAGGTTAAGGGTAGGGTTGGCTTTAGGGATTAGGTTTTTTTGGGCTTTAGGGGTTTAGGGCTTGGCGTGTAAGGGTTTAGGGTTTAGGGCTTGGCGTGAAAAGTTTTAGTGTTTGAGGCTTTGGGTTTATCGTAGGGCTTGGGGTTGCCTGTTATTCTGGCGGGTGTGCATCTTGGGGGGGTGGGGTGGGGTGGGGGGATATGTTTAAAGGCAACGCCCCCAACAATTGCAGAACGAATTCACCCGAAATCCTAAAGAATCCTGAGCCCTAAAGGGGGATTCTTCAACAAGCTCATTACATCGTAGTCTCCAAAAATAAGGGTCCCCGCATAAAGCTCATCTATGCAGGCTTTGCAGAACGTGTGGCCGCAGGCGACGCCTCTCAGAACTGCGAGCGCCTGCGCACACCGTGATCCTACGACAGCCGTGCCGAGTGTATGTTGGTAGCGGTCCTGGAAAAGGAAAGGAGGCATCCATAGCCGGCCAGTTTGGTTTTGTTCCACGCCTGGAGAAAAGACGCACCACTAGATGAGCATTCTAAGTCGAAAGCAGCCACGCCTCCAAAAAATCTACCGCCAAGATCGGGGCATCTGCGACTTTGGCCTGCTTCCCCACCAGATAGGCGAGCTCGTCCAACAATAAGTGCTCCCCCGCCGTCCTACGACTAGCTGGCTAGCAGCCAAATCACCGCAGCAGCAAGAAACTACTTTGTATCTGGCCTCTGGTCTGGACGGTTGCGACGCACGGCGTGGACATGCTCGGCTGCTTTGGGCCCCAGCGTGACCACCTGAGCAACAATTTCGCGAAGTATACCCGCGTGATCCAAATCATGAGATGACATCTAGAAACTCTGAGTCTTCCACGTCAAGCTCCTCTGGAAACCAGACTTGGGCCAAAAGCGCATCGGGCGGCATGTTCTTCGCCTACGCGCAAGGTCTGAACTCAGCAGCCCTGCAAATTGCAAGTTAGTAAGTTGCCCGCAGGACTATATCTGTCCACACGACAATCTCTAAAATGCTGCCAATCGACGCATCGCTGCAAAGCCTGCTCCTTGCTGCCGTCGTTGCCCGGGAGCTTCCACTCATTGTCGATGTCCCAGCCCTCCAGCATCATTTTAGCCTGAGCCCGCAGCAGGGAACCAGCAAGCAGAAAATCAGAGTGAGACAGGAGGACCGCGCAGCCATGATGGCGGACAAGTCCCCGTCGACGGGCACGCAGAACTTCTCGCAGTACTGCAAGAAGTCCTTCGCCGGGTAAGTCTTTCGCGTGTCCATGGCCTGCGGCCGCACACAACACGCCGTCGAACGCGCAAGACTCAATACGCTACAACAACTACATCGGACCGAGATGCAACATAGGCGAGCGTGGCCAGAATCAGCGCCACATTGATTGACCGCGCGTCGCCCTTCTTGATGGCCAGAACTGTCACAGGGAGGAAGTAGACATAACTGGATATTCTAAATATTTTAGATGACTGACACCTAGTCAACGCTGACCTGCCACTCATAAGGGGGCGGCAAGAAGAGTTTAAAGGGTTTAGAGTTATTTAGGGATCTATATAGCTATGTTATGAGCCAACTGTTAATGAGTTTGGGCAGTATCCGACATACAGCATTCGCTCGCAACATTAGAGTCCTTTGCGTGCATGGCATAAGAAAGACCAGCTTTAGGAGGAAGCCCCATACTGGCTATTCTACTACAAACATCTCAATGCCTGTGACACACAGCCACTTGAGCAAGGGTTTGGGGTTTAGGGATTAGGGAAGGGTTTAGCGCTGAGAAGGTCACCTTCCTAGGGCTCCATCCCCAAGTGGGGGTAGACCTGCACCTTAGACTATAAACCTTAAACCCCTAAACCCTAAACCCTAAATCTTAAACCCTGGTCCCAACCACTAAGAAGCATGCGCCGCCCAAAGAGTAACTATACTGGAAGGGTCAGGTAAAACCTAATTCCTGACCGCTCTTCCACATGCTTTTGGGACCCGTGACTGGCAAACTACAATGCGGTTGAAGCCCATTTCCTCTAAGGATAATCGAACAGCCCAAGCCCTGAAAATCAAAATCATTCCCCAAAATCCTCAGGTCTCTGCTAAGTAATATGTGACCTTGAGGATGTGGAGTCGTGAAAAACAAAATGGTGGGAAGAGACCCAGCCCAAAACATCCAAAAACACAGTGAATCCCCAACGCAAAAAGTAAAACACTTACAACCCTAAACCTTAAACCTAGAGTTTGCAAAGCTGGCGAACAAAAAGCTGCAACCTTCGAATCTCTAAATCTTTGAAGCCTAAACCTCAAGCCCGCGGCTTGACAGCTAAATACCCAAAGCCTGGACCCCAAAACTGGGTCAGGGTGGAGTGCAAGTATTAGCATATACGATTCTAAGCCCGAATGAGGAACACAACAATACTTGCTTTTCGTATAGTGCTGGAAGAAATATATGAGAGCTTCTGAAGGGGCCTTAAATCATTACCAATAACAAGTTGAGGTCTACTTCAGGTACGCTATACCATATTCAGATAATGACGGGATCATCATTTCGGCAAGTATCCCTGCAGAACTACAGAGCTTCCATTTCACGTTCCATGTTCTTTTCCATTTGATTCTCTTCATTTGGGTAATATCTCTAAACACATATATCCATGTTACCCATCATTTAAAACTGTTACCGTACCCTGCTGTTAA